GTGAATTTCTACATGGAGGAATTATGATTGCCTTTCATTTATGTTTTTTTTTTAAATCCTTGTTTCACAACTCTTTAATTCTAAGTGTATCTGCTTTGTACCAAGCTCACTTGGTGAATCTCAGAGCTCTAGTGAAACACACAAGGTAAATCCCACAAGCCTGAAGTCTTGCCCACTCTGGACCTCTCAAAACCAGATCTGGGAAAACTTACGTTGGATACCATTAGGAAACTGGAGGAGGGAGAGCAGATTTAAAATCAGCTGTGCTTAAAAGTAAGAATTGCCAGATATGGTGGACAAATCTCTGTCTTGCTTTTTAAAGCCAGATAAGCAGTGGAGGAACGAGCTGGAACAGCAGCGGAGTACATGAAGCCCAATGCAGTTGGATGGACACTGTGATGTTATTTCCCCCTTTCTTTATCTGCATGTGCCAGCATGTTGTTATATGCATGATCTACATTTTGCATATTGCCTCCTTTATGGTTTCTTCCAGCATAAACTGAACAAATCTTTCTGATGCAATGATATTTTGTCTATGCTTTGAATTATATCACTATAAAACCTCATCATAAATGCTCTATAACTTAGGTCTGCCTTGTGTTTAGGTAACTCAAATACAAGTAGAGGCAGAAGATTCTGTAGACTACTGAAGAAATACTTTGAAAGCTCTAAACTGTTTATGTACATATAGATGCATATACGCAGATATGTATATATGCATATAAAAGGAATCAAATGGATTATAGGTAGCTATGATTTAGGACAAATGGATGTTTTATAGTTTTGAACTGTGCTTTGAATGTAATTTTCTACCATCCTGTTTCTTAACAAGTAAATAGATGTTTTCTTTGCTTGGTGTATCTGTGCTCATTTTCTCAGATTCTCGTCGTACTGTTTTCCCTAGCAACTTGGCGGAAGATGCCACATGCAATCTATCGTTTCCACCAAGGTCTCCAAGATAGGTTTCTCTCTTCCTACATCACTGGACCCCTCCTACATCACACACTTTGGATTGGTAAAAGCAGTGGCAGGCAGCCCAGGGCAGGCATCAAGGGTAGGCATGGCTGGGCAATGGTGTAGGGCCAAATCCAGAAAAGGTCCACTGACAAGTTGTCCCCAGAGTGGCTGCTCCTTCCCCTTGTTGTGAATTGCTTGTTTGCCCACCTCTTGCTTTGACCCAAGCCACAGTGGCGGAGCTAATTGGCTGCCTATCAAGCAAGCAGATGATGAGGACGGTGAGGAAAGGTGGCAACTGGTGAGAAGGTAGACTCACTGAGCGAGAGGCCCACTGAGGGTGCCTTGCTCAGGTGCTATCAAAGGCCTGAAGGTGGCTCTGAGGGAGGAACAGCACCATCAGGCTCTGGGGAAACACTCCTCCAAGGCATTATGGGGAATTTAAAGGGAAGGTCTCATCCCAGCCATTCGACACTTAAACAGGGATTCTTTTCAGAAGATGTGGTATGGACAGGTGCTCTGGAGTGGCCTGCAGGCCCTGGGCCTGTCAACACCTCAGGAGCTTTGCCAGGAAAGCAATGCAGTACTGTACTGACCATTTTGAGGCTATAGCTAATGCTGCCTTCTGCATTTAGTAACAGAACCTGTAGATATTACAAGCGAAATACAAGCGAAGCAGAGCTGTCGAGTGTTGTTCACTTGTCAGCATCCTGCTGATCTGTGCTGGGTTTTTTCTGGTCCCGATTCTGCTGAAACGCATATCCCTGCCCCTTATCGGATACGACTGTGCCAGGGCGACAAACTCCTCAGGGGAACTGACTGATGACAAAACTCTAGGGGCACTGTTTCTGCTTCACTATTCATTGCAGGAGGCTCAACCCAGAGGAAGCTGTTCAAGGGGCCCAATGAAGAACAACAGCCAATGCTCACGTGGGAATGAAAACACCAAAGCTTTGTTGGTGCCTGCTGTTGTATCCCCTCCTTTTGTGCCCTCTCCTGTAGGTCATCCACTTTTGCTGACATTAAATGGCTGCAGCAGAATTTTGTCCCTTATGTCTGAATAGATGCTCACACTGGTATTCATTACAGTACCAGGGAAATCATATCCAGTCAGTCGATTAGCATGAACTAGCTGAAAGGTGGGAGTGTGCGCCCAGAGAATGAGAGACAGAGGAAAACTGTCACTGTGCATCATCATGCGACTGGAGTTCAGTGTTAAATCCAAGATGGTCTGTAATTCCCCATTTGTCATGATCCATGCTTCTCCCTCCACGCAATATCAGCCTCACCAGCTTAATGATCTTTATTGATACACAAGAGTCTCTGAGCTACACAAAGTGGAGTGTTGAATCCTTTCTACCATTCATTCAATCCATCCATTCTCTTTATGAGCCCTTCTGTGTCTCTACTGTGGGGGAGGCCTGCTGTGAAAGTGGGCACACCTGTGCTCCTCCCACTGTGTCCCTAATTGGGCTTCCCTCCAGTGACGATGTCGAGCAACTGGGTCTACCTTTGCAGGGAGCAGGAGTCCTCCATTGGAGAGACTTCCCATGTTGATGTCTCCTTCCTCAGGCTGTAATTCCACAGCTGGATTGACTGGTCTTCCTGCCTGCTCTGGGGTTAAACTCTCCCATTGCTACCTTCTGTTGGGTCTCAGGACCTTGAACCATGGCTGGAGTCTGAGCTGTTTCAAAAACAGTCTCATCCTCGAAATTAGAATCTAAATCTAAATCCTCAGTACAACCACCATGGGCAGCCTCCCGTGAGTGCGCCTGAAGTTTGACAGGATGCACATGGCCAACACCATTTAAATCATTTTACTTTGGTAGTTGTGAAGAAGATGGAATTTTGGAAGATGCATCTTAGCAAGACATAGTATTTCAAAAATTCAATTTACCAACACAAGAGACCTACCCAATGAAAGGTAGAGGACCCTAAGAGTGAAACATGGTTCCATCTTGTACAAAGGCTCCATAACTGTATAAGCAAACACAGTATTCCAGATGCTGTGAATATTGGCTCATCCTTACTTTTTCTCCATGGCTGATAGAAAGAACCTGGATACTGCCTGTGTGGCATGGTGAATGTTATGTAGCTCCTCTGTGGTGAGGACTCTGATTATCACTTGAACATACAGAAGGGTAAACTGAAACAGAGGAAACAGGTTTAGTTTGAGTTGAACTTTTGGTTCATCTGTCTCAAGTAAGGTCATTTGTAAGGACTGGCAGCAGCTCTCCGAGGTTTCTGACAAGATTTTTTCCTAGCCTTATGTGGAAGTGCTGGGATTGAATTTGAGCCCTCTATTCAGTGATGGTTCTTCTCCAAAGATCTTATCCTGAAAATGGTCCATTTCTTTTGCTTGTCACTTTGGCAATTTATTTTGCATTCTCCATACAGACACTTTGCCATCTTGATGCTTTAACAGCAACCAACATTGCAAGAAATTGTACTATGTAAATGGAAATATTAATATTATTATGCATTATAATAATACAACATTTCTCCACATGTGGACTCTGCCAGCACTGTACCTACCACTACACTAGTGGCATTGTGAGGAGCTTCATAGCTAATGTGCAGCTTATGGAGATATGTGCTGAATCAACCCACCTGATCCCCTTGTGGACGAATGGTGAACTGCACTGCAAAGTCTCCATGGGGATTCTTATTGCAATGGCCATTTTGAATATGCAGAGTGTGCACCATAGCATGGTGTTACATGTGAACTCAGGAACATGGGCTGTTTTAAAGGGGTGGGTGGCTTGTCAACCATCCCAGCAAGCCACCCTTAGTGGCAACTCAAATGTTCAGGATGAGCACCGCTTTGACAAGAAGTCCTACAGGGAAATTCACACACAGAGGCTTCATGTTATATGTGAACTGGACCTTATGTAAACTCCAGCGTGGAGTGTTGTTGCATTGGAAGTAAAATCAGTGAGGCTGTGAGCACTTTTTCTGCAGGGGATAAAATAAGGCTTTTAATCTGGGATGCATCACTTGTGAATGTTGGTTATGTGGGAGTCAATTTGGGCTGTAGCCATATTTATATTGAATGCAAGGCTAATCAATGTGCGTGTACATCCAAATTCAGATACAAGAAATGCAAAACAAATAAACAAACACCCTCCTCCTCCTTACTTCCTAAAAATAAACCCAGAAGTTAAAGTGGAAAATGACCCAACCGTGCAAATGTTACAAAAATAAAAACATGCATTATTTCAATGGACATGATTCAGGATCATGAAAGACCTGCCTAGCATGATTCATTTTAGAACTGGTAATAACACCAAGAGTATAAATCTATGAGCCTTAGAACACACAAATACGTGCTGTATGGTGAAGCCACACTAAACAATTTAGCTATAGAAGTGCATGAACAATCTCTGGGGATAGAGCTGGCTGAGTAGAAGAGCCATTCAGTAATTCAAAATGTCTTGGCCCTATTCCGTGGAGGACACTCCATTTATTCTTTTGGAATCTGTAATGTTCACAAGCTCAGCATATGAAATAATCACAAACAATGTATTATTGTGACTGGGAAGGGGGAGAAACATCCCAATAACAACACTGAATTCCCTGCCCCAAAAGGATGTTATTTCTTTCCACAACTGGGACTTCTTCTAAGGAAGTAAAGCTGGCCAAAAGAGTTTTCATAGATCATAGTTTTTCCTTTTATTCCCCTTCCTAACAAGGCAGCACTGATGCTGGGGGTGAGGTGGCGGGGGGAGAGGCTTGCACTTTGGCTAAATGAAATCTTTCTCTTCACTCTTGGCAACCAGAGGAGTATTCTTGTGCTGTATGACAAGACGCTCTCTAGTCAGTGCTATATTTATCTTGTAGCTGGACACACATTTGCAAGAGGTTGTTCAATAACAGCAAGGCAACTGGCCAAAGCCGTTCAAACCTAGGAAGTTTGCTTCAGCATCATCCTGCTCCAAGTCGACTGCAGAGACTGAATTCTTAGATGGCTGGGAAGAGTTAACCGCTGCTTTGAAACAAAGGATTCTCCTGACTTGCTCCAGCTTTCTGAAAGACGGAAGAAACAGTGGATAAGATGGAATTCAACAAGCTTCTGAGTGCAGCAGGAGGGCATCAGAGGAGACAGGAGGAGGTGGGCAGCAGCAATGATGCTGATGTCCGCGAGGACTTGGATTTTGTACAAATGTACCTCACCTGTTTACCTGAGAGATACATGAAGGCAAAGTTTACTCTGACAGCATATCTGGCATGTTGGCTAATCTTGAAACTCTGCAAGGTAAGAGCTTGAGTGACTGATCCCAAAACAAATAGAGAAGCATTGCTAGTGAATGTCAGAAAAACTGATGGATCCAACCATCCTTGCTGGGTCCTATCCTGTGAGGTCATTTTCAGGCATCTTAAGGGGTTATGGGGGCAACACTTGTACTGCAGTGGTTGTACTGAAACACGGCAGGCTGAAAAACAGTTGGAAAGCACCCGAAGGACACTGCGTTTGAGGGGTAACTTATGTCTTTCCCCGTCCAGCCGCCTAAGGTAATCTTAATCAAACAGATTAAGGAGTCCTGGGTGTTGTAATGTTACCTTGCCTCAGGGTCATCTGGAAGAAAACCACTTTGAGTGATAAATATACAGTTGTTTTTTGTCTTATCAAATGTTACACAGTAACCTGCTGAGGTGGAGGATACATAGTCCACCAGGAGAAATGCTAAACATAGTGGGATCTGGCATAGGATAGTATCAGCTTGATTCTTCAACTCCAAATAGGAGTATTTGGTATTTCTCACAGAATTCCCTAATGGCTCTCTAGTCTCCAAAACCTGTGGAAATAATGTGGATGGCATTTGGCAGAAGTACTTTTGGCTGCAATCTTATACCCACTGAAACTGGGACTTTCTTTTGAGTAGTGTTATAAGTTTGTACATCATTCTGCTATTTTTGAATCAGGCAAAAAAAAAAAAAATCAAAGTGCACGTTCAGTAGAGGCAGAAGTAATAGTTTCAAAACATCATGTATTTTCATGGTGTAATAGCTGAACTGCTGCCCCCTCCATTCTTTGTCTCCTTCTTCCTTTCCACATTTTTTGAGTGAACTCAAGAAAGGAAATAAACTAGCATCTGTCCCATTCTGAATCAGAATTCATTTTATTGCATAATTCCACCCAAAGTTTTGGGATGCTTCTGAATAGTTAAAGTCTGATTGATGGCATTCCAAGATGCAGAAATGCTGTTAGAGAATCATCAGAAGTAGCAGTATTGGCTTGAATATCTGTAACCACAAATCTGCAACTGCTCAAACAACAAATGGTCCCTAACATGTGTGTACACTGGCCTCTTTCATCTGTATAAGACTCCCAGCACTGCCCATGCAGTCGAATGGGGAGGAAAGAGGAACGGGTACCAGTAAAGTAACAAAGCAAGTGGTGACTGTCACTTGAAGGGGAGTTGGATGGAACGGCTTGGTAACTTGTACTTAGCCCTCTGAACTATTTCAGGTGCAAAACACAAAACGGAACGTTTTTCCCCTGCCCTCATGCCAGAGCACCCATCATGTGCTTCTGAAAGTGCACTTACATTCCGAATATGTTAATTTCTCTTTTCCAGGCCTGATAAAAAAGAAATAATCTGAACACATGCAGTTTTGTATTTTAAATTTTCTTAAAACATAGCATCATCATGACTATAGGAGGAAAACAGTTAGCTTCAAATGCTAAATACATTTATGTAGGAAGGAACACCATTCTGTGGCAGAGAAGGATAGTCTCTTTTTAAATAAAAAGATTAAATGAGCATCAGTAATCATGCACTTACTCATCCTGCTATCCCCAAGACATTAAAAAAATAAGAAGAGAGGATGCTGTAGCAAGCAGCATTAGCTCTGATATGCCCTGGCACAGAGGCTGACATCAGGCCTATTTGCAGTTTTTCCAATTTTCTGCCACTCTGTAGATGGTCATTTGGGGCTGCAAGGTTGCCATGTGTCCTCTTTTATGGAGAACATATGGGGCGGGAGAGGCCCTTCTCCGGGAGCCCTCCATGGAAGAAGTTAGGAGGGTGGTTACTCGGAGGAGGGCTTTCTCAGCGGTGGCGCCTAAGTTATGGAATGCGCTCCCCAGAGAGGTCCGCCTGGCGCCGTCGTTATTTGTTTTTCGGCGCCAGGCGAAGACCTTTTTATTTAAGCAGTATTTTAAATGTTAATATTATTGAATTTTATTTGGCCAGGGCGGCTTGTTTTATAGTGTATATTTGTATTTTATTGTATATATTTTAAAATGTTATTTTAAATTTTTTGTTGTAAGCCGCCCCGAGGCTTCGGCGAATGGGGCGGCATAAAAATGTTTTAATAAAATAATAATAATAAATAACAGTCCTCTAGGTAAAGGACCACCAGAAAATTATCCTCTTTGAAGGTATCCTCTCTGGAAAGGGTGGTTTAGTCCAAATTCAGTAGATATATCTATCAGAAGGAACAGCTGGGTCTTGAAGTTGCCCATTAATAGTACTTGATTGGCTGACTAAGCAAGCCGTGAAGTTCACCTGGTTGCAGTCATTCACATCATGGTGAGATGCAACATATTTCTGTTTAAATTGCAGTAACTATTTTTAAATTTGCACCTATGCATATGACTTAGCACATGCACATTTAAAATGTATAGGCATCCTCTTCTGTCCACTTTTTGGTGATTCACAAATGGCCACCTTATTTGGGAGTGGGGGACTTGGGCTGCAGAACTCTGGCCATCAGACCCAAGTCCAGCCTTAGCTGCATCACCTCAGAAGGTAAAAGGTCTTTATGATTAGAGCGTTTGCTCATCACACCAACCACCCCTGGAAATAAGTCCAGGAGATTTAAAGGGGCTGTCAGTGGTAGTCATAACAGAGATTATAAAGGCAGCTGTCAAGCCAGACTCCATAATCTCCCTTCACCCAAAAAAGGTAAAGGAACAAAAAGCTGCACCAAGCCAGAAATGGCTCACAATTGTAGCATGGCTGGGACTGGCAGTTGGTCCAGCTCTGGACCAACTCTTGGGAAGAGCACTGGACCTGCTCTTCCCAAGTAACTCAGGAACTGATTACCTGAGGCTCCAATGGTATCATTCACCCAGAGCAGATGACACAGCCGCTCATCACGGGTATAACAATCCTTGTAACAACCCAATGATTTTCAAAGATAGATTGTTGCCCTCAGACAAGGCACTCTGAGGAACACGACAACTCCTGTGGGTAACCATCCACAATGGGCTGTTGTGTCACGCAGATCCAGTCAGTGCAACATGCTTCAGGTTGGTCCAACAATCGTCAAGGAGTTCATCATCCTGGTGAGAGACTGAGCCACACTGACTCTAGATAGGAACATGTATGCATCTATGGTTACCAGTGAAGATTCTTCTAGGCAAGGGTCTTACAGCCGTTGCCCATCTCATTCACCATATTTTATGGGGGATCCAGATGGTCTCTCCTGCCTCTCACAGAACCCTGTGTTTCGCCACCACTTCCTCTATCTCTTTCCTTATTATGGAAAATTTGTTAAGATGGAATTGCTGCAGAATGTCTTCTGGCTAGAAGGGAGAAACCAAATTTTTTGCACTTTCTTCCCTAGTCGGTGTCCCATGCCCACATGGGGACAGGATTCTCTAGCCAGGCAGTCTCTATTCTGAGCACTTCCTAACTTTTATTTTATCTTTTTCTCCCCATCTCTTCCTTCCCTATTAGGAAAAAAAGGAAAAAAAGAATGAGGGCATACTCTTGCAACGTGACTTCAAGCATGTATAGTTATGAAGAATATACAGTGTAATTATGTCTAACACAATGATCTTGCATGAAGGGCCTTTGTTTACAGCTTTCATCATCAGATTAGAATGAACAGATCCATTGAAGAAAAGAAATGCCAAACCAGCGGCCTTTAGTGGCCTTTAGCAGCCTTCTGTTGTTCTCTTTTGGCAAATGCAGAGAGCCAAATTTATCCCAGGGGTGAGTCTACTGAAGTCAGAAGAGACACTGTGTTAGGGATGAACTGGGTAGATACTTGTTCTACATAGATATTTGCTGCTAGTTCTTTCCCTCACTATTGTTTGCTGTTTGTGTTTTCACAGAGAGCTTGGGAGAAAAGAGGTTCAGCCTCCCAAAAGGTAGGACTTCATATGAATAGTAAAATGACCCCAGATGCTTATTCACTAACAAACTCCAAAGCCATTTCTTCAATGGCTTCTTCTTCTTCAATGGCAAAGAGTTTCACCTAAACAAGAAAGATGCACTTTAAAAAGTTTCAGTCACTTAATTTTTACACGAACTAGCGAACAAGAAATAAAAAACACCTTTTTTGTATAAGACAAAAAAACCGTGCCATAAAACAATGCTATAGTTTAATACATAGAAAAACAGAGACAACCATTACCAATTATAGTGAAACTCTGAACATAGTTTACTAAGAAAAACTATAGAACTATAGAAACTATAGAAACATAGTTAAACTGGAGTTATATGCACCTGATGTGGGAGAATGTACTTCTAAACTTGTACAGGATTGCAGTTTTAATATGCACCTTTTACTGAAACTTGCAAAACTATTGTTCCATGCAACTACTATCGAATTCATAATACATGCCAATTACCTGCCTTAATTCCCCACTTGCTATATTTTAAATAAAGTTCGAGTTACTTTTAAATACAATGGTAATTAAAATTATGTGAAGACATATAGCTTTTGAAGTTTCAGTTTATTTTGCAGCTGAACTTTCTTTTCCCCCACCACTCTCCCTCTCCAATTAAAAAAAAATACACACAAGCTATTTTGAGTTTACATACTTTCCCTCTTTTGTCTGTACAAAGCAGCTGGCAAGAGCACAAACCAGAGAAGAGAATCTTGCCAGAATGGACTAATCAATATTCATCAGAGTTGGTTGCTCATTATGCAGCCATTGATTATCCCTGGAAGTTGCTCATGGTGCATTTCTCATTCTTCCTTCTTTTCTGCCTAACCACACGCATAACTGCACACATACACACACAAACATAGCTCCCACAAGGCCTCCCTTTTGTGTCCGGCAAGAAAACAAAACCTGTAGCGAAAGCCCATTCAACATCTACCCATCAAGGTCAGGGAACGGTATGCGTGCCGATGGAAAAGGAGCAGTGGGGGCAGGGGTAAGCCCTCCTTGAATTCAAAGCGCTCCTTATCTTATATATTGGAAGCAAAGGGAGGGGGACCCCGTGCTCACAGCGACAGACAGTGCGGCCAATGTAGCTCTGCAGCTGCAAAATGAAGAATGAGAAGATAAGGGAGCATGGGATGTACCTTATCTGTCTCTGCAGCTATTTGAAAGGCCTCCGGGCTTGGAGCAAAACCAATTTTCGGCCTGGTTTGTGCTTCATCTAGCTTCTCCGCTCATTTAAGGTGGGGGAGAGCAGCATGGGTGCCTCATCCTCAAAATTCCCCCATAGCACGGGGAGGAAAAAAAGAGCTCCCAGATCTCCCAGGAACTGGAAGAAGCAGGCACCAGGAGGCGACCTCTTTGTCCCCCAAACACACCCTTCGTGAATTTCCATCACAGGATGCGTTCGCTCTCATTTCAAGTCAAAATATGTCAGTTCAACATCCTGAGCAGTTCAGAACATCCTAGATTGCAGTTCACACTATTTTCAGTTCATATGTTTTTAGTGCTTTGGTAGATTTAAAAAATATGCTTCTGTCTGGTCAGGCTCAATGTATAATAGATGGGGATATTACCAGAAGACCTTTGTTCATAGACAGCCACTTCAAATGGTTAATGTAGATTCATCTTCTTAACAATGTAAGGAGCTTGTATCCCAGCTGAAATGGCACTTCACTTTATTCTTTTCGGCACCAGGCTAAAACCTTATTTTCCCAATATTTTAAGGTTTGATTGTCATTTTAATATGGGTTTTATTGCTAGAAATCGATTAGGATGCTGCATTATAGTTTGTCTTATTCTGCTTTACAGTCAAACCGTCCCAGGACCTCAGCAGTGGATGGTATAAAAAAAAGTTTTAAATAAATAAATATTTTTTTCATTGTCAGGCTCCATGTCACAACACACCATGGACAAAATGTTAGGACCAATAATGAGGATAGTTTGGAAGATATTGCAATTTTCTATGTCACAACCAGGGCACTGATTGCAAGCCAAGAGGGAAAGGCAAGGGAATACTGATGTTTTTGTTATGGCAAGCCCATGCGTTAGGCCCTGGACCAGCACATGTTCTGCTTTTGTGTTCCTGCTCCTGCTGTTTAGCAGCACTTAAAGCTTCAGATAATGGTTGGTCAGCATTTTGCACGGGGGTCTGGTACAAAAGCATGCCCTCTATCACGCCTGCAAACTCAAATCCCTTCTACTAAGCTACTTAAAGTGCACTGCCTGTTCGGTTCCAGGGAGCAGATTTCAAGAACCATTTCATCTCAATTTTTAAAATGATTTATGTACACACAAAGAACAATAGAATAAAGCTGATAGAAAGAAAACCACATCTTTCATAAGGTGTCTCTAGCAAATAATTATTCCTTCCTTTCTGCTACCCCTTTCTGGTAAGATGACTTTAACTGCAGTTCTACACTCCTAACTGTGGTTCCTAATTGTTTAGAAGCAGAGTCTAATATAAGGAAAGCCTTGGGTTACTTTGGAACATGTTGATTTGCATGGTTCTCTCCAACTAAATTCAGTATCCAAAATTTTGCTAGGACATTTCTGGATAAAATTGTAACATTTTAGTTTAGCTTTTTTTCTTCAATGTGTAATCTGATTTTGTTTTGTAATATGCAATAATAAATGAATTTGCTAGGACATTTGTAGAACCTGCTTGTCCAAGGCTTCATCAGAATATTCAATGGCTTTTGCAAGTCCGAAAAGGAGAGGTAATGAGTCCTGCTTTGACATTGATGGGAACTGTGTCACTTTCATGCTTTTCAGCCCAGGAAGAAAATAAGGATAATTGTCCAGTAACTAATTTAAATTGAGATTTAACTACAGCAGTATTCTGTTGTGCTTTTTAGATCCATATTGTCTTTGGACGCTTAGTAATACACACTGTCCTATAGGTCAACAAACTTACTCTGGTAAAAATATGATCAGATTGCCCTCTGGTGGCTGAAAAAAGTGCATTTCATCAGAGTAAATTTTCTTGGCTCAGAAATGATTGACTTGATGTTCTGAAGACATAACTGAATCTATCCCATGCTCTTGAGCACTCTGTTGATTGGCTTATTTTATATCACACTGAATGCTGGTTATTGTTCTTGGTATAAGATGGGAATAAGACAAATATGGCAGTTGTCATGTTAAGCTGACTGATGTGGCAAACCATTTCTGAGCCTTGGTGTTTGTTTGCTGTTTTTGATATTTCTAGGAAGATCATTGATAACTGAGATTTCACTTTATAGTTACTGAAGCTGACCAGTGTAAAAGTTTGAAGATACCTGGACTTGAATACTGTATATTATGCATTAAGCTCAGTTTTTGGAATCTGCCATGGTGAATTCAGAACTACAGTTCAATGACTACACAAGTTCTTTCTCCCTTGCCCTTGCACTGATACTTCTATTTTCTAGATTTAACAGGAAGCCATTGTCTAATTTCTGCATTCAGATCTGCTTCTGAGCAGCGTAAATCTCTTTTTAACCTTGAAAAGTATATATTGCTAAGCATAAAAGGAGAGCCTTACTAGACAAGGCCAAAGGTTCATCTACTTCACCTTTCTGTTTTCCATGCTGGCCAACCAGATGCTTCTGGGAAGCCCCCAAGCAGGTGGTAGCCCCCTTCAACAAAACTATATCAAATAGCCATATAAGTATCCATTTGCACAGCTAGGTCCTCAATTCCTTGCACTATAGAAGATGAGCGTGTATCCTTCCAATGCTGTAGCATCCATTTTTTAGCTGTCAAAAGAACATGGGGAACCCATTTGTACTCACTGTGCATTAACTTCCAGGAAGCAGGTAGGTAATTTAAGAAAACATGTACATCAGTAAACATTTAAAAAGCGTTGCAGCACAAAGTTTCTCTTTATAATAGCCTCACCACAAAAGAAGCAACTATTGAACATGGCCAAAATATACAGTTAAAAGAAGCATTAACTGTTTTACACCTCTGGCAATTAGCTAGCTTAGACAAATCCTTATTAAAGGGGCATTATAGTGTTCAACAGAACTATAGTCCGGTCCAAAAACATACAGGTTTATTGGTCATAACCAACACTTGAAATTATGCTGGGAAACAGACCAGTAGCCAGTGCAATTGATGTAACATTGGAGTCATGTGCTCCCTGTAACCAGCCATGGTTCATACTCTGGCTGGCACATTCTAGACCAGCTGAAGTTTTGGAATAGTTTTCAAAGGCAGCCCCATGTGCAACATGCTACAGTGGTCCAGATGGGATGTAACTAAGGCAGGTGTGACTTGGTTAGATCAGACATCTCTAGGAATGGGTGCAGTTGGTGCATTAGCCTCAGCAGTGCAAATGTACTCTTGGCCACCACCAAGAAATAGGTACTGAGGTTCAGGGATGAGTCTAAGAGTACACCCAGGCCCAGCGTCTGAATCTTCCTGGGGAATGTAACCCCATCCAGTACAGGCTGAATCCGCATTACTTGACAAAGAGTACTTTTATCGTATCTGGATTATGCTTTGTCCAGTCACTGAAATCAGGCAACAATTTAGAATCAGCACAACTTCCATGAATGTAGATAGAAAGGGGAGATAGTCATCAGCATCCTTGTGCTACTGGATTCTAAAATTCTGGACAGCCTCTCCTGGCAGTTTTGGGTATATGTCAAATGGCATGGAGGATACCACAGGCCAGCAGGTCCAGTTTTGAACAGAAAGTTCCCTGCAACACTCATTGAAACCCCTCCAAGAAGAAGGACACTGCAATCATTGGTACTGAAAGCTAGCACAAGGTCCAGCAGGACTAACAGGGACACACTACCCCAGTGCAGGTCCCAGGGTAGATTGTCTGCCAAAGACGTCTCCGTCGCAGAGCATTTTGCAGACTTTCTCCTTGAATGAACTCAGTTCTGTCCTTCATCTAATACAGTGAAGACAGATGAAAAGATTTCCAATGAACATGTTACCAAATTAGCTATTGTGTAGCAAGCAGAGTTAATTGCTTTTTTAAC